ATGATACAAATGATTTTAGATTAGAAACTGATGGAAGACAGTGATGTAATGAGGCGAAGTAGGGAATAATTTATATATGATAATTATCTTTCTTTCCATTAACTGACAGTTCTAAATAAGCTGATCACAATTCACAGCGATTTCCATGAGGACATAAGGAGTTTACTAAGTGGTTTCCTCTCTTCTGGACGTGCATATGATGTATGTTCATTGCATGAATTATTATATCATTCACTTGGAAGCTGTATTATGTCTCTGAAAGTCAACAATGGCAAATTTTGTATCCTCAGTTGAGAAGAATGAACCATATCAACAAACCATGGTATCGACATTTTGCGGAAGCTACCACACGACGGCTTTCCAGTTGCGCTGGTAATCAAAAAATTTTAATTTCCGATACAGGGTATTATTGGTGTAAGCAAACCGCTCCTTTACATCTAGACGCCTAATGGGACCATTTAAGCAGATCGTAGCTCTATGGCATCTGAGCAGGTGTCAGCGCATTGAATTTATAACCTCATCTCTGAGTTGGGCTGCAGAACGGGGAGTTTGAGAAGTTCGACGTCCAATTTCTCTTCAAAATTCTAGTTTTTCTGTTCTCCACGGTATGTAGTAGTTTTCGTAACGCTTCCACTGAGGAATTCATAAGGATTACGGCCTCCAATCGTTTCGGTTCTGTTTTAATCAGCTTGTCTATCCTTCTTTTAAACAAAACTGACTCAGTATGTATAAGGAGTGCTGTTAGCCCTGAAAGCTGCTATGTCCTTATATGACAAAAGTTTGCTTTCACGGTTGAGCGGAAACAGCTGACAGAATTTGAATTATGGAAGCGCACGAAATGGTGACATATCTTTCAATATCCATTGCGGCCTATGGACTAAAAAAATTTAAAACGTACCATCATTGCTTTGATACAGTAGCTTCAGCCTTTCCTTGTCCTTCTCCTCCTGGGTTTGCTGCCTCCTCAGTGCCACCTGAGCAGCCATAACTCGTTGTCGTTCCGCTATCAGGTAGCATTTGATGCAGACACAGTCCTTCCAGCGGCAATAACGTTTGTGACCTAAGCATCGGATTAGCTTTTACGAAAGCGTCCGACAGAAAGTTGTACCCTTGAGCGCCGACAGGACACCATGATTGCGGCAACGAGCGCACTTCGGCATCCGATGAGGGCGAGGCTGCAGTAGCTTCTGCACGGCCTTAAGAGAAATTGAACCACCGCCATTGTTTCCGTCAGGAAAGTTCCTTGCATCTTCCATCTTGGACTCCTGCTTGCCGCTATCTGCAATCGACACTGTCACAGTAGGAGTCGACTGTGAACGGTTATCGCCGCCGTTGTTTGAACAGTAGCCAACGGCTTATCGACTGATCTTCTGGCCAATCAGGTAACAAGAACAAAACGTCCAGGTTACAGTATCTTTGGAATGCATGAGACGAAATTGCCGCAAACGAAATTTTGGCAAACAAACCTTACTTTGCAACATGCTTTCAAAATCGTGTCGGAAATGCACATTTTTAGTGGCAACCCGAATATGAAACTGACATATTTGATTCAGCTAGTAATTCTGCATTTATTTGTACACCGCCATATTGCTTCAATCTTGCATTTACGTAGATGAGGGCTAGCGATGCTTGATCGACTGCAATACATCTTTTAGTGGGGCAGAACAAAGGGACATTCGAGCATATAAATTTTATCGCGTTTTAAAGCTCTGTAGAGAGATTGGAAACCTTCTACAATGTGCAATTAGAATGTTGAATTATTGCGCCTGTTGACTTCATCTGCCAGTTCTTCTTTCTGTTCTGAGCTTGCTGCTGACGCATCTTTGTTGCAGCCAAATTCCAGAAATTTTATAGATGCTGTGGATTTACAAGACAAAGGCAATGATGGGGCGCCAGCCGAAAACGTTTTTACATTATTTTATAAATCTTGGTCTTGCGTGCAGAATATCTAAGGCCTCGTCTCGTCATTTGCATCAACTCAACAACGAGGGATTGAAACTATTATCATGTCAAAGTTGTATTTCACTATTGCCCTTGCAAAGGAATGTCTGTTTGTTTGTAGTACTGTAGCTTACACTGTTGTCCTACATTAAATCTATTCTCAAACACGACTATAATGTCAACAATTGTTGTTTAGAACAACAATATCCGGATGAAGTGTGATACGATGAGCATTGTCTGTTTGACGTGTGAATTATCCTGCAAGGATGTTCCACCTGCAGCTGCCGCAAGGTGTCACGAATGAACTCTCAGATGTGAGGACCGTGGCAATGCAGAGGAGATGGCATCAGCAAAATGGTACTTTTCGTAGCTAATGCACTGTCCAATGAAAACCTGAAACAGCTCAGGACTCTGTCCATCGAATTGAATTCAGTTACTTAGGCTTGGACCGCTTGTTTAATCCACTGCATTATGTGAAGGCATCGAACAAAGGTGTGCAGTCTTCTACAGAGCTACCTCGCATGCGCGAACGTTCAGAACTTTTGGCACCGAATATCCTTTTAGTGGTGGTTGTACCGAGGATGTATAAACGGCAAGGATAGACAGATTAGCAGCAGTTCCTCAAAGACTCGCGTAAGCAACATCCGAGTTGATTGACAGCCAGGAGAGAAGAGACGCATGCGTGCGCCGTATCAGTCAGTGCTATGGCTACAGCATGTTTTTCAGAATTATCTGTGAGACAGTCAGAACCACTCTTTACACAGACGAACACTCACGGCATAGTTTCTGTATGATGAATGCTGATTTGTACGAAACAGGCTACGTATGCTTTATAATGGTACAGACTGTGAAGTGTGACGGCCTCAATTGCTGTGAAGAGAAATGGATGTACGATCCTGCGGTGAGTGAATAGTTCTCTCAATGTACTGTACTCTCTTACCGGATCATTGGGCTTTCATCCCTGTTCGT